CTGGTATTGAAAGATCGGGTTTTTTTTGTTTTTCTTTTTTTTTTTTTTTTCCCAAAAGACTTGGTTTTTTCCAAATAAATAACAACTCAAAAAATTGGGTTTTCCTGGTCCAAGTTAGGTTTAAACGAATAAAATTTTTATCGTATAATTCTTCTCGAATTAGGATCCAAATTTAAAATTAGGTTTTTTATAATAAGAAATAAAAATTTTCTATAGACATGTGATTCACTGGACATGTAATTTAGATGAGAAATTTTTTGGGTCGTTTCATAACCCGAAATTGTAGTCACAGTTGAAGGCGAGTAGAAAGCATTCAGTATATTTCAGTACGGGCCACATTATTCGTTATGAATTTTGTGAAATACCGTCATCGTTTAACCTATAAACCGCCCTGAATAGTCATTCATTCACTTGTGAAATAGTCTTTAAATAAAAAGAAGAGTCACTTGTTAAAAATATTTAGTATCTAGATGTATAAGTACTCAATAACGATTATATTTTGAGACAAAATATATAAGCCAAACAACTATTATATTTGAGACAATTGATAGGAGTAGTTCAAAAAAGGGAAAAAAAAAAGATCAATATTTAACAAGAATGTTAAACACATACAGAATTGAAGAATAATACAAGTTTTCCAAATTTAAACTTTGATTAACCAATGGATTAACCTACTTCTATTTTCCCATAATACTTAATTTCATGTCCTCTTATAGAAAACTATTTTGTTAAGTTACAATAAATTTATTGAGTAGAATTTGACTATATTACTAGTGACAACCTTTAGGCAATCCACGATCGGCTAAGCACAAGGTGGAGTGATGTACATTCAAGTTGTTGTCAGGCCTTGAGTTCCCGAAGACGCGTTTGGGCTAGGAGGTTGGTCCTGCCAGGAACAAACACTCGTCGGGCCTGGGCCCAAAAAGCAGAACATATCTCCGGTAGAGCCTGGGATGTTACAAATTGTATCAGAGCCAAGCTTGTCCCCTATGCTGGTGGTGGGGCAAACAATCGCTCAGCGAGGACGCGAGTCCCTAAAGGGGGGTAATTGACACCTTAGGCAATCCCACATGTAAGCACAAGGTGAAGTGGATGTAAACATAAGTTGTGGCAGACAGGAACAAAACCGTGCGGTGCCCTGGGCCCAATACGCGGACAATACTCGGAAGCTGGATGTTACAATTACCCAATTAATACTTAAATTTTTTAAAAACAAATAATAAATTAAAGTATAATTACTTGATCATGATAAAGGGTTTAACATAAAAAAAAAAAGATTTATTGCTCCTTGAAACCACAAATTGTGATAAAGTATTTTAAATAAATTATTTTCTCAAATGTGAAATAAGTAACCACAAAATGTGAAAGGTTATTTTAGAATAACTTATTTCTCAAATGTGATAAGTATGTAGAACATAAGTTAATATAAATTTTTCTAAAAGATAAATAAATTAAAAATTTAAAAAAAAATATTTCTTAGGACTTGTTTAAGGCTCTGAATGACACTTAATATTCTTATATTATTTATAAAAATATTATCTCTAAACACTATATATTATATAAAATAATTACTTTTTTTTTTTTTTTCCTTTGGTTGAGCGAGAATAACTATTCAGTTGTTGTGTTTGAAAAGTATATTGCTTGCTCTCCCCGTACTTTTGGGCCGCTGAGTAAATAAGTCCTTCAAGAATGTATACTTCTTGCTATTAAATGTCTATAAAAAAGAACGCAATATCCTTTATCCTACTTTTATAAGTCATTTAATAACATAATACTTTTAGTTTTTTAATAATATAAATTAATTATTTATATTATTAAAAAATAATTTTTACATAAAGAAGTATAATAAATAGCAAGAATATATAATAATTAAGGAGTGTAGGGTGATGCTTTCAATATGCAATGATTTAAGTATCATTTATATATTTTTTTTTCCTTATGGGCTGTAACGTACGTTAATGGATTTGATAATGGACTATACTGCTTTTTAATAAACTCACGAGTATTGTAACTGCTGTTAGTAGTACAAAATATATAATAATCATTGTAATTGCTGTCAATAATATAGAGTATATAATAATCATTGTAAATGGTAGTGTTATAAGATATATAATAATAAATATGAACTAAATATAATTAAAAATTATAACGAGAAGGACAACATGCAAATTAGTGTTAAACAAGCAAACTTACCCGGGCTTTGCTGCGGATTAAAATTAATTTCATCGATATAACCACTAATTTTATTGATATAATTACTATTTATATTGGTTTACTCAAATTTTTCTATTTTTTTCACTGAAAAAATAAAATATTCATCTCATAGATTTTTGATTTTTTTTGTTTCACTATTTCTTATTAAAAAAATTACTAAATTTGTACAAAAAGACTCATTTTTATACCTTTAGATTTTGAAGTTTTTCCTATCAAAGAAAAAGCTTTTGGTATTCTAACTATAAAAAAATAATTTAAACTACTTAGTCACAATTTTTTCGATATATTATAGTTTTATCATTGAAGAAATACATAGAATGGATAGAAATTCAAAGAAATTAGTGCTCAGCAAGTATTATAATTTGCTTAAGAATGCTGATACAGTTTAATAAGCTTATCCATAAAAAAAATTGATAACAAAATCACTTAAAATAGCTAAAAGTAGAAATATATAGGAGGAGATGGACGTGAATCTTGTGGTCAAGGAAAGCATGATCAAAAGAAGCTATTGAATGATGTCTGGTGAAAACAAGTCTTGATATCCACATCTAGACTCGTGTAAATACCATGGAAATAAAAAATAACGATTTCCAAAATTAAAAACTACGTAAAAGTTTTCATTCTAAATAAATTATGAATCATGTTTAAACGGTCATGAGTGAATCCTTGAATGTCTTCACTAGTACAAACAAAAAAATATCAGATTAAAAAAAAAAGCGAAGAACAAAAAATAAGGGAGCTTGTCATTAGCTTTCAGTTCTAATTTGACTGTATTCGATAAACCACAATTTTAATTGCCCTTCTTATCCTCAATAACACCAAAAGAAATATTCAGAGGGAGGGACCAGAGAGGAGAGGAAGTAACAAGAAGAATCAATTGATTCTTTTAGAATCTAAATTTAGCTAAAATTATAAAAAAAAAAAAATGATGGACATTATAGAAACAAAAAAAAGTTGAAGGAATCCCAATGTTGATTGACTAAAAAAAATGCAGAAATCAAAAGAATAATCGAATATCAAATTTAAAAATAATTTATTATTGAACTATAACTCAAAAACCCAAAACAAATGCCATATAAAACACTTCCAGTGGGAACATGGTCACTAACCTTTTGGCAACCAAATCCAACAAAAAAAAAAAAAAACAATGTCAAAACAAACTTTCTTTCACTTTTTTCCAGTTTCTTAGAAACCAAATACGTTTCAGAGACAGAGAGAGAATACCTCAATGCTTTTAACAGCTGGTTTGATCTTAAAAGAATACCTGGATTGTGATAATCAAAGAAACAAAGAGTGTACTATGCTTCTTAAATATCACAACAACAGTAACAACATGAATGGCATAAACACTGCCAAGTCTAGAGTTAGCAAAGATAGTATATACTAAAGAAATATGAAAGAGAAAGCAAAAGATGCAGCAACCAATATTGTCATGGACCTTATTTTTCATTATTTAAAGCATAAAAATTTCATCTTTTTTAATTTTGTTTTTTACATCACTTACTTTTTTGTTTTTGGGAGGCACGAAACTGCTGCTGCTCCTAATTTCTGCAGTTCAAGCAACATGTCTCTAGGCATGATTTGTGTAAACTTTGTATAATTTGTTGCCTAACTACCCAATTAGAAGAAATAACAAATCTAATTATCTCCAGTCATAAAAAGCTCAAGAAAAAATCTTCAATAGCCAAACAAAACAGACTTTCACTACAAATATCAAATCCTCAAACAGAAATCTACCAAACAAACATACACTTATAATTTCAAACCATAACAAATAATTTAGATAATTAAAACCCTGAATACTAAAATTTAGGTCTAAGCTTCCTTAGTGTGAGTTCAAGATTAAAATTTTCTCATTTCTAGGCCATCAAATGCATCAAGATACAACAAAGAAAAATTAAATATAAGTATTCAAAGAATCTAATTAACTCAGAATCAATGAATAGGAACATATTGAGGATATGCAGTAATTTCAAATATAAAATCTAGCAAGAAATGTAGAGATGGGTTTCATGCAAAGCAAAAGAAAAAAATTGATTTCTCTAATTTCAATTTCATTGTGAAAAGAAGGAAACCCGAAATCTCTGCCCCAAGTGTTTTTAAGTTTCTTACAGAAGAAAAAAGAAAACAATACAAATTAAAAAGAGAATTAAATGCAAATAAAAAAAGAACATTACCAAAAAAAAAGGACGTATAATCTAGAAGTAGTTCATAGAAATAGAAAAGAAGAGAAGGTGAAGTCCGCGTGGAAAACGAAGAGATTGTGGTCGCTGGAATTTAGAGACTGTGAAGTAGCGTTTTGTCTGCAAGTGACCGATACAAAGAAGAAGGGTAAAATAGGCATTGTAAAAAAAAATGGTTAAATTGGTACAACACCATTAATGTTTAATATAATATTTAACTCATCTTTGACGTTTGATTCCGTTTTATAGGTCTTGCCCTCGCATAAAGGACACAAACACAGATTCTATATTTGAACTTGGTCAGACGAAAGAGCTTCAGTTTCTCCCTAATAAGATAAGTTTATTCCATTGGGAAGACTACCCTTACAAATCTTTGCCATCAAATTTTTTCATGAAAAATGTTGTTGAACTTAACATGAAAGGGAGCAAGGTCAAGCAACTATGGAATGGAAATAAGGTATGATTTAAGTATATAATTTGCTATTGTACAGGTTGTACTATACACTATTAGAGGTTAATAGTTAAATGATATATTTTATTCTATATTAATACAAAATATTGTGTGTGAGTTTTTTTTCTTTTAACAATTGACATTTAAAAAGAAATTGGTTTAATGTGCAGTGTCCTCAAAGGTTAAAATATCTTGATCTTTCTGAAAGCGAGTACTTGGAAACACTCCCGGATCTCTCTTCGGCTCCAAACCTAGAGAGGATTTGTCTTTCAAATTGTAAAACCTTGAGCCAAATTCCCTCATCCATTCAGTGTCTGCACAACCTTGATGCTCTTGATCTGAGAGGTTGTGAGAAGCTGAGGAGTCTTCCAAGACTTGCTCAGTTGGGCTCTCTTTGGATTCTTAATCTTTCATGGTGCTCAAATTTGCAGATGCTTGTTGATGTTCCAAGAGGACTAAAGATGTTATTATTAGGGCAATGTGGGTTAGAAGAGTGGTTCCAAGAGGATGGACTTTTCTGCAATCTTCAAGTCATAGAGGTACAGAACTGCAAAAACCTTAGAAGTCTTCCAAGTAGTGATTGTTTGAATTCTATTAGGGTACTTAGTCTTAAGGGTTGTTCAAGTCTTAGTAAGGTAAGTTCCCAGAGAATATAGGAAATAATATAACAAAGTTAGATTTAAGTTATACTATGATAGAAGATTTGTCATCAACAATTTTGCGTCTCTCTTCTCTTCGTGAGTTAGTTATGGAAGGGTGTAAAAGGCTCAAGAGTCTATCGAGCAGCATTTGTCAATTGAAATCCCTTACAATTGTTAATCTTAGTGACTGTTCAAAGCTTGGCAAACTGCCTGATTTACATGGTTTGTGCTCTTTAAGAGAACTTCGTCTAGACCGCACTGCACTTGTAGAAATACCCAGTGACATAGTCTGTTTATCATCGTTGAAAATGTTGTATCTAAACGACTGCAATAAACTCAAAGGTCTGCCAGAGCTTCCAAGCCAATTACAAGTACTTGAAGTAAAAAACTGTATGTTGCTGAAAACTGCAGCATGAACTTCATGCATTTTACCCATAAAGCCTGAACCGTATTCTTTCAAATTTGATTTTATGAACTGCTTCAATTTGGATCAAAATGCACGTGGCAATATCATGGGAGATGCTGAGTTGAGAATTAAAGAATTAGCTATTTGTTGGGTAAGCATTTGAGCCTCTTCATCTGTCTTTTTTCATTCCCAGAATCCAAGTAAATAATATATATAAATATCTAATTTGTCTTTCTTTTTTTCCTGTTATCAAGCAGAGGAATAATGTCAGAATGAGTCGATATAATACAAACCCTTTTCTTCTTTTTGATCTCACTTTATCTGGAAGTGAAATCCAGAGTGGTTCAGCTTTCAAAGCCAAGGATCTTCACTAAATGCTGATATGCTCCTTCCACGTTGGTTTATTTCTACATTTCTAGATTTTGCTTTTTGCATTGTTGTGGAGTATGAGATTCCTGCTATCAACAGCTGGGAATATCGTTTTTTTTATCTCATGGTTACGTGTAAATGTTGTTTCAAAACCACAAATGGATACAAAGAGTATCACATCCCTCATACAATACGTCATTACGGTTCTCTCTTTGAATCAGATTATGTGCATCTTTGGTACAACCACCGAACCACTCGAGATCTAAGTATCTGGCTCATACGGAACTGTTATAGAGTCAATGAAGCCTCATTTGAATTCAAAGCAGAAAGTACAACTGTGAAAATGAAGGTGAAGAGTACAGTTGTGGGGTTCACCTGGTGTGCGCTGAAGATGAGAGTAGAATTGAAGCAACAAGTTCATATTTTCTGGGTGCTCAGGTGATGGAAAGTGATTCCATGTCTGATTACGAGGAAGAGGAGCAAAACGATTCCACGTCTGAATCTGAGGAAGATGAGCAATGATTACGAGGAAGAGGAGCAAAACGATTCCACGTCTGAATCTGAGGAAGATGAGCAAAGTTCTAGAGATTCTGTCTGTAATCAGGAAGATCAGCAGAGAGATTCCATGTCTGATCACGAGGAAGGTGAGCCGCTGCCTAAGAAATTAAAACCATTCCCGGCATTCTGTTGAAGACTATTTTTAAAAATTAACGTCGATATATTTTGTAGTTGTTCAATTTGTATCTAAGTTTTCTGTTTACCAACTAAAATAAAAAAATAAGTCAATAATATTTAATAAATACAATTTTATGTTTAACAGAATTATATTTAATATTTAATTCCTTGATCTCTAGTTAAACTCTTTAAAACTTTATATCAATGCATTAATCTAAACAATATTTTGATTCCAAAGTCTTTCAAACAGGTGGTAGCAACCACCGTCTTCTTAATTTAGAAGAACGATATCGATTGAAAACGTTGAAAAGATAACAGGAGTTGGTTATTAAATTATTTATCAAGGGCGCTTTGAAAAAAAAAATTATTTATTATTTATGGTTTTTTTATGGATTGTTTATATACAAGCTCTCTCCTTAATTTATTAAATTGGTTAAAATTTTTGTAGCTTAGAATTTACTAAATTTGTGAAAACCGTTGTAGTAGAGAAGACTCAAACTCGAGACTTCGCAATCTTAGAGGAGTGTATTAGATTAGGATTCTGTTAGATTTTAAAAGAATTATTAACGGAATTGAAGGATTTTCTAAGATTTTCAAGAATTCCACTAGAATTCTAAATCGAGTTTTATGGAATTAGTGAGATTTATTTATAGATTTGATTGACTTTGATGGAATTACAATGATTTTCATATATCCAATCAAAATTTATTTTAGAAACTAATTGAATAAATTAAAAATTTTTGAGGCCAATTAAAAAATTAAAAAATAATGGGGGACTAAAAAGTAAAATGTGTCATATTCTACAAAATCTTTTTTTTTTTCTTTATTAAAATCTTACCAGTGCTGACTGTGAAAGGCCTGCAATGGCCAACGCCGCCGCCGACTATCTCGTGCTCTCATAACAGTCGCGATGTGATCGGAAGATCACAGGCTTCTTGTCCCTTGATTGAATAGTGACATCTCATCGGAAAATCACATGTTTAAATTAATAATATATATATATATATAATTTAAATCGAAAACTAACAATCACTGCTAGCCAGGATCTACGTCAGTTGCCAGAGCTCGCGCAAAGAGCCGGCGCACAACGAGACAGGCCCAACGCACGGCCCGCTGCTTGTGGCTCACGGAGCCTAGCATTCTGGCTACAATAATGACAAACTGTATTTTTCAGTTCTTCGACCATTTCAAAGCTTTTTCAATTTTTTTTTATTAAGAGCCGGCGCACAACGAGACAGGCCCAACGCACGGCCCGCTGCTTGTGGCTCACGGAGCCTAGCATTCTGGCTACAATAATGACAAACTGTATTTTTCAGTTCTTCGACCATTTCAAAGCTTTTTCAATTTTTTTTTATTTGATTGAATCATTATTTAATTGAAATCAATCCATAAAAATTCTAAAAAAATAATCAAATTAATTCTGAAAAATTTTTTTCAGCATTAATATTAATTTTTGTCCAAATATCAAATTCTCAACACACGAATTAATTTGAACTAATCAAATAATTAATACATTGTTTTACACCTTAAGGGGTAGAGACAGAAGTGGTACGGGTATTTTAGGATACACGCTCTGCTCCAATCTGTTTAAAGAGGATATAAGTAGTTATAAATGAGTTTATAATGGATATGGATAGTGAAATTACTATCCGTAACAAATATGGGTAATGAAATTATTACTCATAACAGATACGGGTAGGATACAAGTACAGATCTTTTGGATACCCGCTACCCATTAATTCTTATATTAAACAAGTTCGATAGTGGGTACCCACAAGTACTCTATCCATTATTAGTAAAAAAATGTATTTTAAACAAGTTTAAATTTGGATAGTTTAAGATTTGCAGTACCCTACCCGTTTAAGAGATACTTTAAATGGGTTTTAAATTGGTTTTAAACATATATGGGTAGTAAAAATTTAAACGGGTTCGAATACAGGTACTTAGATGGGTATTTAAAACCGGTTTAAAACAGATATTAGTAGTAAAATTTTAAATGGATATCTATATAGATAGTTTAAAATTCGTGGGTATCCGTCCCCACTTCCATCTTTATTTAAGGGGTGTATTAGATTAAGACTCTGTTAGATTTTAAAATATTTTTGAAATCTTTGGGTTGGATGATGGATTTGGGAATGACTCTTTCTTTCATATTTAGCACTTTAAAATCCAATGAAATCAATAATTTTATATGATCCTTCAAAATCAACAATTTTTTTTAATACCATCAATTTATATGGATTTTCAAAAAGTTATAATTGAAAATACCATCAGATTTTTATGGATATAAGACTGAATTGAATACTACAAAATTTTAATAGACTCCAAAAAAATCTAAATTGAATACTATTGAAATTTTAAAATCTTAAAATTTAACAGACTCTTAATCCAATACATCCCCTTAATGTAAAAAATCTACTCAATTAACTTATATGATAAAGATCAAATATGTTGAAAAACTATTTAATTAGCATATATATTGAAAAACTATTTATATTTGGATAATTTAAATTTAGCATTTGAATTTTATCCATTATTTTTTTTTATCAAACAAGTGTTTAAATTAATATTTCCTTCTCAATTCAATGCATTTTGCCGAAATTTCTGATTGAAAATCAAAATAAATTATTTAATTTACCCTATTTATGCACTTTATTCATTTATCTTAATTTAACCCTATTTATGCACTTTAATTTCATTTTCGAGATGTTTGCGCTTTTTTCTAACTTTTTTTTTCAATTATTTTTTATTTTGTTTTCGGGATCAGAGAATTTAATAAAAAAAAAATTATACTTTTTTTAAGAAATACGAATTATAACTCAATAAAAATTTATTTTGTTTCGGGATAAAAAGAGAATTATAAAAAAAATTATACTTTTTTAAGAAATACGAATTATAACTCAATAAAAAGTATAAAAAAAATGAATGAAGAGAGATGAATTGGATAGATATTAATATTTGTTATTATTATATGAATAAAATTATTTATTTAATTTCTGAAAATTAATTTAGCCAAATGCCATTAATTGAAATATTGTCGTTCAAATACCTAATGAGTAATGTTTTTAAACTTATAAATTTATTAGTTTTTTTAGTATACGTGGGTCATATGTTATTATTACTATGTTAAGAAACTTAAACAAACGGAGATAAAACAAAAGTGTCAGACAGAAACAAGATAAAAGCACAATGTTAACTTAACAATAGCTCAAATGAGTCTTTATTAAATGAAAAATGACTTTGCTTAAATAGCTAATACAAAACAGAAATTCAAATTTACATGTCTCAATATCCCTGAGATCGTGCTAAAGAGATAGTCTATCTAAACAAACTTGATTAAATATCTAACTATCCTAAAACATAGTAGTTTTATTCTGAATAAGTGAAACAGTCCTAGAACAACAGAAAAACTTATCTTAACAATCCTTCCCCTAAATTGAACTGCTTTCAATTTGCTTCCTTCTTGTCCAGAACTCTAAGCATCCCTTGAAGTCTTTCAAAAGCTTCCAACTTTAGAGGTTTTGTCAATATGTCGAAAGCTGCTCATTACTTCCACAGAACTCAA